CCATTTTGTTTCCAGAAGAAACGAATGGTAAGCCCTTCGTTACATGCGTGTGCGCATATTTGGGCAACAAAATCGATTTTGTGGAACCGGTTCGACAGAATTGAGTTTTGTGTTTACAAAATTGAGTTTTGTGAACCGGTTCCACAGAATTGAGTTTTGTGTTTACAAAATTGAGTTTGTGGAACCGGTTCGACAGAATCTGAGTTTGTGTTTACAAAATTGAGTTTTGTGGAACCGGTTTGACAGAATTGAGTTTTGTCTCACAATAATTGAGTTTTGTGGGACAGGATTGACAGAATTGAGTTTTGTGTTCACACAAACTCATTTTTGTCAAGTTTATAGGTACAAAAATGCCTGTCCTGCATGGCGCCCCGTAGCGGGGTCTTGTATTTGACTACAATAGAGAGAGAGAGAGGCTAGAGTGAAATGAAGCATTGTGAAAATTTCGAATTCAATGAAGAATAAACACTGAACACGTAAAATTTCTTTTACTCAGCGTATAAACATGTTTAATTAGGAGAAGTGTATTATACATATCCCAATTCTATTGAATATGAATTTACAAAAGAACAATGTTTAATAGGATTAATGTTAATGGATCAAGTAAATATTCGTCAATGAATAATACTATTTACAGTGCCAGTGCGGTTGGTTAGAATCTAGCAAATAGAAACACAAGAAGTATATTTTGACAATGAAAATGTAGGATGAAGCCTCGAAGGTTTACTGGCTATATGCGGATGGTTAGGAGAATTAGCAAATCGAATACATGAAGCTTGTTTTGACACTGAAAATGTAGGATGAAGCCTTGAAGGTTGACTGCTATGCTAATGCTGGCTGCCTTGCTGATGCTGATGCTGCCATGTTGATGCTGCCATGCTGATGCTGATGCTGATGCTGCCATGCTGATGCTGATGCTGCCATGCTGATGCTGATGCTGATGCTGATGCTGATGCTGCCATGCTGATGCTGCTGATGCTGCCATGCTATGATGCTGTGCTGCCATGCGCTGATGCTGATGCTGCCATGCTGATGCTGATGCTGCCATGCTGATTGGTAAACCTGAAAACAGATACGTACGCAAATTAAAGTTTTTTGTAAGCAATTATTAATGAGGAACTTCTTAAAAAACAAGGTTTGGAGAGGGATACCGGACACCTAAGTAAATGCTCTTATGCCTGATGAGATGTATGTACTGTGCTTGAGTAGATAATTCATATTGATCACATACAAGTGTATTATACTGTAGTACTCTGTAGTGCTCGTATAATTCTTACCTTAGAGCTATGATACAAGCCTGCTATAATATACTGTAGAAGCGACTGTAATAGTGAGAAGACCACTGACGACCACGCTGCTTGGCTGCTTCTAAATCTATGTGTGAAGTGAATAAATACTAAGCTTGCAGTAATATGCCATAGAGGGCAAACGATGGTAAGAGGTCAATAAAATTAGCTTACAACTAAGCATAACATAATTAACACAAGACACTGTCACGTTCACTAGTTAATCTAGCTTAGACTAAGGTTGGCTTTAACCACTATGTATTAGTAAGTTGGTACGACATAAATACCAGGCACAGACATGACATACGGGAACTTGTGCATGACGTTTCGATGTCCCAGAGTTAGGGGGGTCACCTTTCCGGCCAACACCATTTAAGCACTATATGTGTTAGTAAGTTGGTACGACATAAATACAAGGCACAGACATGACAGACAGAAACTTGTGCATGACGTTTCGATGTCCCAGATTAAGGGGCACCTTTCCGGCCAACACCAACTCGAGCACTAGCTATGTGTTACTTAGTAAAGTTGTAATATTTGCATTACTTATTGCGGGCTGGGCCGCGTGAGATAGGAGCAAGCTCTTAGGAGAGACCTGCACGTTTCTCTCCCGAAGTCGAATTCATCCAGAGCTTGAAAAGTCTGCCCTGCATTCGCACATATTTCTTTCGCTGCTGAAGTTTCAGCTTTCTTTCTGAAAGTAATTTAAGCTGAATGCTGACGAATTTTGCTTCTTCGTGCAGCAGGTCGTACTGCTACGAGGTCAACTCGAACAGCGCCAGCCGCGGCCTGTGCGCACGCTGGTTAAGGCCGAAGTGCCAGCCTTCCACGTTATTGTTTGTTCTTACGCTTTGCTGTAGACACCCCACGCTGAAGGCGGCCACATCTCAGACGTGATCCAGGTATCGTGGACGTACTCAACAAGCGCTGGGCGGCTGCCGATACAATTTCGGGTTCCTCGTCGTCGTGGAATCGTCTGAAACAAATCATCATAGCGGACAATTTATAGTTCTGGCTCACGGCTGCATATATCGTCTGAAGGCTCGTCCGAACACATACGGCACACCCAATTTATGTCTAAGTCGCCCCTAAGCCTTACCGCTTGACGGTAGGAGTCCCTAGTGATACCCGTCCCTAGTGATACCCGTCTCACATAACCTATGCTGCCACCTTTCACATATATCGCACTGTACGGCCTCTTGCCGTGCCAGAACTTCTACACGACAGCAGATGCAGGCATTCTCCATTGCTACCACACCTCTCTCTTTCTTCCTCTATCTATCTATCTATCTATCTATCTATCTATCTATCTATCTATCTATCTATCTATCTATCTATCTATCTATCTATCTATCTATCTATCTATCTATCTATCTATCTACCGGGTACCAAATCGCCGACCCTAAGATTTGGGCTTTCATGTGTCCATTTCATTCTTTTTTGCAACGTAGGTAAGTATTCTTTCATCCATCGCCGCCAAAACTGATCAGCGAGATGTTGCACATGTCTCCATCTTCTCCGGTAACCATCGTTCTCATCAAACTTTCCTGGTGGCAAAACGAAGCCATTTCGCAGCAACAGCAGGTGATTAGGTGTGAGTGGCGATGCGTCGTTAACATCATTCCTAACCTTGGTGAGCGGCCTGTTGTTGACAATCGCTTCAACCACACAAAATAGAGTCTCAACCACTTCATCTGTAAGTCTGACATTATTGCTTAACAAGCCGCTTAAAACCTTTCGAATCACACGGATCATCCGTTCCCACATGCCGCCCCAGTGTGATGCACCTGGTGGGTGGAAGTGCCAAGTAATGCCCTTTTCTAAACAATACGATCTTATAATCTTTTCATCCAATTGCCTAATG